TGCCTTCCTGGAGAAGCACAGCACATCGGACTTCCTCATTGGTATGAAACACTCGGGGCAGAGTGTGACTTTAGGGCTAAACAAACAACTTTATTTGTGTAAATTAAGTGTGCTCTCACTCTTCTTCTTTCTTCTCTTGTTTTCTCTTTAGGCCCTTGCTTTTTCCTGTCCTGTCCAGTCACAGTGGATGAGTTTCGATCCTGGTTCATTGACCTTTGGAATCACTCTATTATTCCTTATCTGCAAGAGGGAGCCAAGGATGGCATCAAGGTGAGAACCCACAGCCAGGATATTTCTAATTAGCACTTTAGACTGAGTCCCAGCCTCCTCCCTATTACACAGCAGAAAGACTCCCGTGTTTGTTTCTTTGATCGCCATCTGTAATAAAAAGCGTCAGAGTTCTAGATGGATAATTAAAATTGTGCAACTGCTTATAGATCATTATAAAATTCTAGCACTCCATGGAGCATCTCTGCTGCCAGCAATGACAGAGTCAATTACTTTGGACAGCAGTAGAGAAGGTTGTACAAGCATCTGGTGAAGTAGTTGAGCCAGAGCTTAAAACGTCAGAGCAGCAAACTGAAACCAGTTCCTTTACTGTCACATTTTTCTATTTCCATCAATGTTTTCTATATTAATTAAGTTTACAGCCTTCCATGTTGTTACAAAGTGTTGCTCTATAAACAGGGGTGCAAGTCAGCTTCCCAACTGATTGATTTAAATCAAAAATGGTCCCCCATGTTTGATTTAAAAACTTCTGAAGCTCACTTTTCATTTCAATTCAAGGAAGCACTGTTGACTTCCCTTTCGCAGGAAATGTTTCCCCCAAAGTTTAATATGAAGGTATGTTGTGACTTTTCAGGTCCATGGCCAGAAAGCTGTATGGGAGGATCCGGTGGAGTGGGTGAGAGGCACCCTGCCTTGGCCGTCTGCCCAGCAGGACCAGGCCAAGCTGTTCCACCTACCTCCTCCTAGCATCAGCAGCTCCAGCAGCCCCTGTCAGCCCAGCGAGGAGAGGCCTCATAAGGAGACTCCACCCAGCTCCATGGAATCTGATCCTCTGGTAAGAAAAATTGTCTCATGATGTTTTCTTCTCCTAAACTAAAATGAAAACGTCTTTACAACTGAAGTGGATACTGTAGAATATCTGACGTCTCAAATCTGTCTCCTTTGTTGTAGATGGCCATGCTTTTGAAACTTCAAGAGGCTGCCAATTACATTGAATCCCCAGACAAAGAAGACCCTAGCCTGCCTAAACTTTGAGCACAGAGCTTACACTAAACACTTCGCACTTCAAATTTTATTTTTCGTCCACTGTACTGATGCAGTGCACATTCAGGGACAAATGGACCCTCAGAAATATTTGTCGGGCAATTTAAACTGTCATTCCTGCAGTAGGACTTTGAAAGTATGACCTGTGATTTCCAAATCATTTTAACACATACAGTATTCTTCAAAAAACCATTAACAAGTATTGAATGGACGAACTACAGTCCATTTTCTTAACATTTACTTCACACACTTCAGATCCCTTTACCACCACGCTGGCCCTCGGTACTCTTAGATCGGTGCTAACAGATCACTGAAATCCATAATCTCAGCACTTCAACTTTCAGGGGATTTCTGCAAACAACACTCATTCCGGTTTTGTACGCAAGTGCATCATGGGAAACTGAGTGCTTGTCAAAAGGAGCTATTCTCAATTAATGGTGACTCATTTTGGAAAAGAGTATGACAGCATGACATACGCTACTGTTTATTGCAAAGTTCTTTGGTACATATCTACTGTATAAGTCTTTGAAGGCCAAATCTTATACATATGCAATCCTGAACTTTACAACCCGAGCAGGTGAAACAAATAATATGCCTTAACAACAAAGACGTCAATGTCACCTCCAACTCAAGCAGAATATACTGGTGCTTTCATCAATAACTAAGACAGTCAGAAATCTTTCCTCAGCTCTATATATTATTTATTTCAGTTGACCATAGTTATTTTTCAGAAAATAATTATATGTTCTCATAGTTTTCCATCTTCTTTATCATTTTCGTGGCCTATAAGTTGAAAAAAAATAAACTTGCTGTCATACTCTTTTGCATACAACTAAACATATATATCAGTGATGTGAGCTCATCACTTTGTAGGTGTGCACACCACTTTTTCCAAGCACTTAATTTCATTTTATTTACTGCTTTATGTGAAACAAGCAGTGTCACCAGTGTTGCCATATATATCAGGTATTAGATACTACACAGGGATAATATAACATAACAAATGCTCTCTGATGAGAACAGATTGAGCAAATTCTGTTTGAATCCACTTCAGATAGTTTTTTTTTTTTCCGTAACACTTATCCAGGAAAGAGTACATTTGTTTCAGATCTTTCCCCCAATATATAAAGTAGTTCCTGTATATATTATGTACATACGATTCAGGCTACACTACAGTTATTTTATCTCTATTAGTTGGTGCAAATATCTAATCTACTGAACCAAATACTGTACTTTAATCATGCATATTGACTGTCAAGTTAGGGGTTTAAGTTCAACTATGAATGTATAGAAAAACACAACAACCGTATAACAGTGTCAATCATGTAGTAGGTGCTTTTTAAAGGAAGCCTTATCAAAGTTCAACTGCAAAACAATGGCTGAGCAGAGTGACTTTACGGCCACCTATGCCCATTTCATTTGCTACAGTTCATGCACTTCACAAACAAAATTAATAATCTCTTGCCACTCGTGCTTCTTAACAGCATTTTAGGTACATGGTGCTCTTTAAAATGTCCCAAACTGCTTTAGAGTTGAACAAATAACCGCATAGACGTTCAGGATAGGTTAGCAAAGAGTTTTGTGTCATTAAAGAAATCTAAAATAGATTTGGTTAGTTTCTGATATTTCGTAGGAGGTGTTATTGCACAAGTGTTGAAGACATTATGTAGAGACAGTGAAGTCCTGTGAGACGTTGTACGATGTATACTGATGTTGATGTCGTATTGCATTCATTTCTGAGAACATTTTGGGTACACGACACAGACACAACTTATAGCAGGTACGTATTACAAGGGAAGAGTAAAAAGCAGAAGATTTAAACACTTTATAAGGTACTTTGTGTAGATTTTGTAAAGATGCCGCTATGGAGTAAATGACAGATAAAATATATGCTCGTGCAAGTGGTGTTGAAATACTTCATCATCCTGTGTCATTGTTTCAGTGCTCAGACTAAACTTCACATGAAGTGAGTCTTGTAGATGAATGTGAGACCACTTTAATGACAGCTTGATAAGAAAGCTTAAGATTTTAAATTGTGTCTGAGCTGCTATTGCTTTGTTATTGCACTTTTTTGCATAAGGCTGATAACAAATCTTCAAGCTAATATGCAGCTGGTCACCTGCAAACTAAAAAAAAAACATGAATGAATTAAAGACATCAAAGAGCCACAAGATGTCAAATGGCTTAGTGAGTCTCACTGTGCCAAGAAATACATTCATTACTGTAAATATTTCAGGTATTAGACAGTATAACCGGCCCCACTCTGATCTGTTTCTGCAGGTTAACTAAAGCCATCAGCCTCCAGCTTCTCATCTCATTCACTGATCGTTGTGCCTGTTGCTCTGTAGTAGCTGTGATTTGTGTTCGCTTACTAGTGTATCAGGACTATGCAGCAACTTCTACTGGTGTTGGCAATCAGCAAATGTCTGAACTTCACGAGCAAACGCAGTGTGTTTTCATCTGGTCTGTCTTTGAGTTCTTAAATTTGGACCAAATTGCACCACAGGATAAAAGCGGAAGCTTGTTTCAGCCGGTGATACTGAGCCTTAAAGAGAGGAGGATTGGTTTGATGTGGCGATGAAGACAGGGTTCATAAATGTAGTTAAAGAAATTCAGCTGTTTTGATGTGTTTTGTCCTTATGAATGGCACCAGAAATAATGTACCTGGACTTGTAAATGGTCAAATGACAATAAATGACAACAACAAAAAAAGATGATTAAAAATGAAATTGTGAGCTTGTTGGCAAGAATCAACACGTCCCTATTTGCATGGTTGATTCTGAATAGAAATTACCCAGATAAAGAGATAAATCTGATATCTTAGGCCAATACAGGTTGCTGAATAGTCATATTTTTGCAAAGCTTGTTGTGGACTAAATTAAGATTTCAAAAAAAAAAATGTTATGCTGTATCTAATGTCACTGATGTGCAAATGTTAAGGGTTTCTAAGTGTTGTAAATGCATGTAAACCTGCTGTGTGATGAGAAAAAATGTTAACATTAACGTATTGTTTAGGAAAATCATTCTAGATAATGTTTTCCTTTTTAATACTCAAATATTTGATATTTCTTTTTTTTTCTAAAGAATCCTTTGTAAAACTTCATTTCTCTATTTTGTACAGAACATCATTGTAAAGACTGTAAATAGGTCAGCATTCTGGATGCGGCAACAATCATTGAGGGGAGGGGGGGGGCATCCTTGAGAGAAATGTATATTTCTTCAGAGTTGGGTCCAATACATGGATAAGGCATGCTTCTGAAGGCTTTCATCCACCTATCACTGTTTGTTGGAATTAATAAAATACATGTTATATTTATTCTGTTGCTTCTTGTCTGCCAACGTGACAGTGATGACCTGTTTATAGAGACTGCAGTAATGCTGCAGTAGCTCATATGACTAGACCAGCAGAGGAATGTTATGACAGGGATGGAGTTAATATCAAGTTGATCATTCGCTTACTTTTAAGCACCTCAAACAAAAAAGTATTTACCAAGAGGGATCAAAAATATCATCAGGTCAGCAACTCAAGAAATCATTTTGAATGTGTTTCTATTTAAACAGACCACAGTGTATATAGTGGAAGAGCTAATGATGTACAGTGAGAGAGACAAAACAGACATGGTGGTCTGAGACATACATGGTGCTCAGTATCTATTACACCAAATTCATTAGGGGGCGGCGCCTGAACCTGCAGAGCCCTATTTAAGCTCGTCACCTCCACAGGAATGATGGCATTGGATACAGTTTGAAGGACTTAACTCAGTTGGGAATTAGCTGCAACCGCCAACATGCCGTCCAAGCCTGCCCCAATCAAGAAGGCGGCGAAGAAAGAACCAGCCAAGAAGGAGGAGGAGAAGGCTGCAGAGCCGGCTGCTGAACCCTCCCCGGAGCCCGCTCCTGCCGAGGCCGAAGCCGCCCCTGCCGAAGCTGCTCCTGCTGAGGGTGAAGCTGCCCCCGCTGCAGAGGGAGAAGCCCCCGCTGCCCCACCGGCCGAGGAGCCCAAACCCCCCACCCCTCCACCCGCAGATGGTAATGCCCCGCGCGCAGCGGCGTGTCAGACCATGAGTTACTGCTGATTAGTCAGCGTGCAGTCCACCTCCGTTTTATTTCTCGGTGGATAAACACTGGATACGTTGTTCTAACCTTTTTTTATTTAAGCGCAAGTTTTTGGTTCAGCTCATGGTAAGCACGCACAGGCGCCTGTGCGCCGTGGTGCGAAGTTACAGCCACTGAAATCACACGGAAAGTGCATGATGACTGCTTAAACTGCCAGCTTCTACCTTCTGACTGCTTCTTGTCGAAAAGTAACAATAGATCAGTACTGTGATGTTCCCACATATGCATTTATACATCTGTCAAAGCCAAACGAATTTAAAATCTAAATGCATTTGCTGGTGCTCACACCACAAACTGATGTATAACGCATATTAACTAAACCCCTTTTTATTTTATTTTAGATTTAACATAATCTTCAGTGAACATTGATCCAGCCATCTGTCAAACATCTAACATGTACACCAGCTGCTTCCACTGATGAAGCTCCACATCTGATATGTTCTTTAACTCATCTATTTCCGCTCATTTCAACTTTTCTCTTTCTATTCTAATGGACTTGACATCATCTACAACATTTTGAAAATGCTGTATAACATTGTCAAAATGTTCTCCTGATATCTCCTAACCTTTAATATCAGCTGCTTCATCTGCTACAGAAGAACCACCAGCTGCTGCTGCTCAAGCCCCGGCTGATGGTAGAAAAAAAAACGAACTAACAAAAAAAGCCTATCAGGAGTAACAGACATCTTATGTCATTAAAAGTCATCAAACGTCCCTCTACACAGGTAACTTCACTAACTCCTAATCCTCATATCTTCTAACCTCTAATATCAGCTGCTACGCCGGCTACAGAAGAAGCAGCTGCTGCTGCTGAGGCCCCGGCTGATGGTAAAAGTGACTATCAGTGGATTAACAGACTCTTGCTTCTTACATTGTTAAAACTAAAGCTTACTACACTAATATCTATATATGCTCTTTAATATCTAATACCTGCTAATAACCTATAACCTCTAATATCAGCTGCTGCACCTGCTGCTGAAGAATCACCAGCTGCTCCTGCTGAGGCCCCTGCTGATGGTAAAAATGACTATCGGTGGATTAACTTGACTCGCATATTATTAAAACTAAAACCTCCTACAGTAAAGCTATCTAATATCTATGCTCTAATATCTAATGTCTGGTATGATTTTCTAACCTCTAATATCAGCTGCCGCTCCTGCCGCAGAGGAATCGCCAGCTGCAGCTGATGCCCCTGCTGATGGTAAAAAATGACTGTCACATGAGCATCAACACTCGTTTTACACCACAACGTTCACATCTTTAACTTTCAACCTCTTTTTTTTTTTGTTTGTTTTTTTTTGGTAAAGCTACCAGCACAAACTGACCTCTTTATAACACTCTCTGCAGTTTGTAGTCTCAGCACATACATTATCATCTGTTGCAACATGTCCCATCTGCTTAATGCACTAATTATTAATATCTAACATTTAATAATAGCTGCTGCCGCTCCAGCCACAGAGGACGGTGCTCCCGCTGCTGACTCCGAAGCACCTGCTGATGGTAAACCAACCTGCAAAAATAGCACACGTTCCTGTTCTCCTCTCTCTTCAATAACTGAGATGACTTTGTCATTTGAGACTAATTGGATAAAAATCCTCAGTGTAATGGCACTGTAAATCCTTTGACCTCCCAGTAAGGGAGACAGAGAGCTGTGAGGTACATAACTGGATTATATTTGATGCTGTCGCTCTGCTCATTATATGCCGCTAACAATGATGCAAATGCCTATTTAACATCAGCTGAAGCTGCTGAGGCGCCTGCACCAGAAGAGCCTAAACCGCCCACTCCTCCGCCTCCTCCGCCCAAAGGTAACCCTTGGTTTAAAAAGAAAACTTCCATCTCAGAGTGATATGAGTCATCAGTTGTCCCTTTTTTTTATTACAGTGTTAAAATAAGGAATTGCATCTTCACCTCCTGGGAACTTTGATTTTTGTGCATTTATGCAGCATGCAAAGGCCCATGGAATAATTGTATGTTTCTCACCATTTACAGAGCCCACAAGTGCTCCTGTGGAGCTGTTCATTGAGGACAAGAATGACACTTCAGTTACTATCATTTGGAGCCAGCCGGAGAACATCGGTCCCTCAGGTCTGGATGGATACACCATTGAAGTCTGCAAGGATGGAAGTAAGTCCTGCTATGCTTTGAAGCAGGTGCCTTGCATACTGGCATGTGCTTGAAAGGGGTCGGATGGTGGTATTAATACACCATGTCAGAAATGTCTGCTGACCTTTAAATGGTTTTTTAGCACTTCCATTTGATCAGGTGATTTCAAGTCTGTACAGAAGCAACTATCCTGATATCTCTGGCTGCATCATAATGTTGAAATGTACTTTAATGCACTCTGAAAAATGTTAAATTGCTGTTTTAATGTGGGTCAGCCGTATCAGTTGCAGCTGTCTCTGAAGTGTCAGTCGCAGAGTTATATCATGAGCTACCTAACTTCTCCCTACAAGGAAAGAGGCATTTCAGGGGTTGCTGTGAGCTTGCTGGTGGTCCTGCTTTTAGACTTACAGTGCTAAGCTAATATCAGCAGCAGTTTAGTGCAGGCTTGATTTAGCAGACAGACGCACAGCGATTTTATGTTGAATGCAAGACATTTGTGTCAAATATAATAATTCTATTGCCGGTGCAAAGCTGCAAAATAAGCAGTGCTTACTGTCCCAGTTTACTCTTACTGTCTGTATGAATAAGATTTGCGCCTCTCAATCTATATACAGTTTGCTTATCCTGCTCATTTTAATCACAACTCTGTAAAATTTGCCACTTTTTCTTTGTCGTGTGTCATTTTCTAATGTAGCTGAGGACTGGAAAGCAGTCAATGAGGACCTGCAGAAGTCCTGCCGCTACGTTATCAAGAACCAGACTACAGGTGACCGTCTGAAGATCCGTGTGGTGGCTGTGAACGCCGGAGGCCGCAGCCCCCCTGTCGCTCTCCCCGAGCCCGTCCTGGTGAAGGAGGTCGCTGGTAAGAAGTGTTTGCATAGAGAGTAAAACAAGAGCCACTTCAGCACAGAACATAATGTAACATGGAGTAATGACAGAATGCACATTTTCCACATAAAAAACTCACCAAAATGACAACAGATAAACTTTTTTGACCCCATGAAGGAAGACTGTCATGGCAGCAACGACAAGAACGCATGAATTGAACAGATATGTAACAATACAAGCATTTACTATGTATTGGTATCCATAGGAAACAACTGTAAGTGACAATATATCGAAAAAAAGTGCCAGAATTTAGCATGTTACATATGTGCAGAAATACAGATGTTGAGTGGTTTGAAGAAGACTAAATAAACACTAAGCTCTGCATCAACCATTCACAAACAACTCATTGTATAGAGGCACAAATAATAAATAAATAAGCCTGTAAAATTCAATATTAGGCCATATTCTCTCTTATTATTTCAATGACTTTATTACATGCGCAGTGTTTAGAAAAAAAGCTAGTACCAAAGAGGAAAAACAAAATGCCTGATTGACCGACTTTCCACATAATATTACCTAGTTAGACTTTCTCTCAGGTGCTACGTGATTAGTTCAACCCATTTTTAAAATGTGCTAAAACAAATATGGGACAAATCATCTGCCACAGGTCCATCCTAAACTTTGCAGAGCCAGTTTATCATGAGGCAGAGGGGAGTTGTAAAGTGCAGGAGTCAAACAGAAACAGCTCAGCAATGTTTTCTTCTCAGCTGTCCATGTCCTGTTGGCACATGCCTGCAGTGTTAACTGTATAAAACTCTGGTCTTCTCACTTGTTTCCACTATGAGTTGAAACACTGATCCACCTGGCAACGGTGTGATAACTACCCACTTGTTAAGTACACGGTTTTACTGATGGTGTACACCTCACAGTGTTAATCATGGACAGTATATCCACAGTGATTTGCGGTAAAACGATGATCGGGCCCAGAGGGCTTTAAAAGGAGGGGCTGCGTTACTTTGGCACTCTCACAAATCACCGTTATGCGTAATGGAGAGCCGGACAGGGGGGTGGAAGGAAACTTGATCCCAGCTGGACTGGAAGTATTTCAATATTCACACCCACGTTCACCGTCATTTTCACCATAGCAGGTGGGACACGTATAGAAATAACTTATGAATGGTTTCCGACAAAATGACCACAAAGCTTTGGAAAATAGCTGGGACGTCCCTGCGATTAACACAGAGTTTTCTGCAGATGGTTTGGCATTGCATTGAGATCCCTGCCAGGATTCGTGCTGTGGGAAGTGTCGGACTCCTCTGAGCAAGATCGATGGTGTCAAGCGATCTGACTGTGAGCAGGTGGGGGCTGCAGAGAGCAGAGGGGTGGCTGGTAAATTCCAGCGTGTCCTACCGTTGAGTAGAGACGGGGGTGGTGGGCACGGATCTGACTTCTCTGATGACAAATCTCATGACACTCCCAGAGATTCTCTGCTTAATTTGAAACATGCCACGGACTTCACAGATACAATGATCATTAACCTTAATCCTCTATGTATGAAGTGATAATACACTTAACAAGCAGTGTGTTTGCTCAAATACACCCATGCACTTCCCCTCATCTGACTTTCTTTTCACTTTACTTTCTTTATACCCATTACTTGACTTTATATTTATAAATCGGCTGTGTTTAGGAGCCATCTAGAAGTTTCTGTGCCCTTGCTTAATGCAGCTATGATTTTAATGCATACTGATGTGAGGGGGAGTAACCGAGTCTCCAAATCGTGCGTCATGAGGAGAGGTGATATACCACAGTCCGCTTGCTTTATTTAGAGTCCTGACAAATGTTGCTCTGCTCCACTCAGCAGGTGGTTCCTCTCACCAAATTGCTTTTACAAATGAGCCTCAGCAAGACACTTCCAAGGGTCTAACTGTGGCATAAGTATCACTTTAAAAGTTCCACCGGCTAACTATCCATATGATTTTGTTTTTACGATGATTTATGGGCTGTTTTCTGACTTTTTATGAGATAATGCTTGGTGTATAAAGATAGAGAAGCATTTAGGAAAATGAAGGATCTGTTGTGGTGTTTTTCTGAACCAGGAGCTCTCATATATCTAAATTAGGCACCAAGACAGCACTTGCCTGTGAAATTGAAATACTTCTTTATATTCATATTGGTTTTGATTTCCTCTTTCCGCATTTTGACGGCAAAATATTCTAATTTCTTGGGTTGTAAACCCGGATCTAGTATCACAAATTTAAATGAATGGTTAAAAAGAAAAACAACATATATATAAAAAACTATTACCACTGCACTGATAACTATGATTTATAATGTACTGGTTTTGTAATATACACAAATACAAACAATCTCTAAGAGGAAAATGATACTAAAAATAAATGTAGGCAATAAAAAATAGGTGTGGGATCCCCTTGAAAATTACTTGCTACATCGCAGTGGGTCTAATATAATATATATGATAAAATACATAGATATGATAAAATATATACTGTACACCTGCATGTACATACTATGTACACAAACACCCAAATACATCTATAACATGGACCCATATGAATGTACACACAAATGTTAACTGTCTTGCTGTCCATTGTTTACTGTCTTTTATGCACTACATCCCAGTACAACATCCTACTTGTTGCTGTCTTCTGTTGGCTACTGTAACACATCATGCCACAAAGAAAACACTTAAAAATGAAAGTTATGTACCACAGAGCAGAGGAGGATAAAGGGGATAAAGGTTCAGCTTAACAGCCAGTTAAAGTATAAAAACTCCCCGATGACACCAGTGAAAATTCCCTCGCTAAGACAGGCTTGGATCAACTCAGCTTGCTCATAAATTTTGAGATTTGGTGGTCACAAAAGGAGCTTAAATCCCCATTTTCCACTGCAAAGATCTTTCAATAGATCCCTCAAATACTGCTCAGGCTGTTTCTGTCTCTCACTTAGAAGCTGCGGAACCAGCAGATAAAATAACTTGAAGGAATATTTTAATAAATAATGTATAAATGTTGAGTTTCTTCAATAATCAGTGATTATGCCACTCATTGTTTTTCCCTCTAGACCGCCCCAAGGTGCGTTTGCCTCGTTTCCTCAGGCAGAGATACGTCGCTCACGTTGGAGACAAGATCAACCTGACCATCCCCTTCACAGTAAGCTGATTTATGCATTTCTGCATGTTGCTCAAGATGGATAATAAATAACATACTAAAATTCACTGTCTGATTTCTTTTTTTCAGGGCAAACCCAAACCTGTGGTCTCCTGGACAAAGAATGGCGGAGCCCTGGACACAAAGAGGGTGAACATCCGCAGCACCGATCGAGACAGCATCCTCTTTATCCGTGCGGCCGAGAGGGACGATTCTGGAGTGTACGAGATGACTGTGAAGGTGGACGACTTTGAGGACAAGGCTTCGCTCACCCTTCAGATTGTTGGTGAGAAAATGGTTGATAATGTGAGATGATATTTAAATCTCTACAATTTGATACTCAGTCCGTGCCTGTTGCTTCACAGAGCTGCCAGGGCCTCCTGCCAGTGTAAAGATTGTGGATACCTGGGGCTTCAACGTTGCTCTGGAATGGGCTGTACCCAACGACAACGGAAACACAGACATCACAGGTTACACAATCCAGAAGGCCGACAAAAAAACCGGAGTAAGTTCTCAGTATCAAAGAGCGGCTGGTTGTCAAGTCATAATAAATAATGCACAGTGATTACTAATGGAAGGATCCCTCTGATAAATTGCATACTGTAAATCCTGAATCCCTAATACTTCCTCAGTTAATCCATCATGTCTGCACTCTGTGTGTCTGTGTGTGTTTGTGTGTTCACAGGACTGGTTCACTGTGTTGGAGCATTACCATAGACTGAATGCCACCATTTCTGACCTCATCATGGGCAACACTTACAAGTTCAGAGTGTATTCCGAGAACAAATGTGGAATGAGCGAGGACGCTGCTGTTACAAAGGGAGAAGCCAAGATCCTGAAGACAGGTACCTTTGTCTTTGCTACAATTAACAAGTATTGAGGAAGATATCTACAATGTGTTTATTATTGGGCTCTGTATAAACCATGCCATAGGCTCTTCCTTAGTGAAATAGATTGGAAACTCAGCTGTGCATATAAATAAATAACCTACAGTCAGAAGTCCACTTTCAGTAGACCATGAGATGTGGTTGAAAGCTCCAACAGCTTGTAAGAGAACCTTTGCACTTCAACAAATCTGACTAATAGTCACAGAGTTATATCACCTGTTTATCTGGCATACATTAAAACCCTCCTGTTATCTTTGGGGTCAGTTTCCTTTATTCAATTTTAACATCTCTAAATAAGTAATTTACTTTTTTTTCAGTTTTATTTAAAGGGCTATTTACACATAAACTTGGGTAGCAATTTTAATTATGATATTTTCTGGAATTGTAAATACCTGCTGTCAGATTGAACCCAAAGATAAAAGATGTCAGTAAATTTGAAGGTAATAGGAGGGTTAAGTCCCTTAAAGCTGTAATTCTGGTTTCCATGGCTGGAACTAATGACCTCTAGATTGATTCCTGAAAAAAGATGGAAGAATGTTTCTGTGTTAGTGCCAGAGACCTTTCAGAAAATCCCTCCAATCACTGAGCGACAAAATGTCATTGACCTAATAAGCTGCTGCTAAGGCGCATATTGAGTTTGCCTGTTTCTCTTACGTTCTCCAGGTATTGAATACAAGCCTCCTGAGTACAAGGAGCACGACTTCTCCGAGGCGCCCAAGTTCACCACAAATCTGAGCGACAGAGCCACCACCGTCGGCTACAGCACCAAGCTGCTCTGCTCCGTCAGGGGATTCCCAAAGGTACTGTAACGTTTCTTCACGCTCTTTGTCAATATCATGTTGTGCCGTATATTCACTAAAGTAGCAACTTCAGTGAAACATCACCACCAAGACAGCAACAAGAACTTGTTGGTCAAAGAACAAAAAATAGTGTATTTTCAGTTTTTATTTAATTCATTTGACAGGGGCAGTCATTATTGATCAAGAGTTAAACAAACTTAAAATGAACCAGAGTTCACCAAGTGTGCTACTTTTCATCTCTTGCCTTTGACTAGTTTTTTAAAGGCAACTTAAAACTAGAATAAAATGACATATTATCTAAAATTCACAACACACAACTCAATCACTACATACAGATGACACATATAATTAAGGCTTCTTCCAGTTACTGCTATTGTGTAAAAACTGACTTTCACATGAAGTTAAAAGTATTGACATTATTCCAATAAACAGCTCTGCTTGCTTAAATTTTTCTTCAAAGTTTGGGTTCCTGACCTGCATAAATTCAAGGACCCAATCCCAAATTTTTACACCAGTTTTCCCAACTTTAAACTCAATAGGTTGGATTAATGCTTGCTCTGTTGTAATATGATAGCTAAAACATACAAATATTGAAACAGAAACATTCAGCGTGGGATTAGCCTGTAACACCAGTGTTGTCAGCTGGCCAGACCTTTGCTTAAACTACTTGTCAGCAGCAGCACCTTCTCTCCCTTGTTCATACATTGTTGTCAGTGTTTTGGCTTTGAGCCGGCGATGAGGAAGATCTTCACCTGCCCTTATTAGCCTTCTGTCCGAGCCTTTCACCTCCTCTTTGGGCTTATAATCCTCCAGGTCGCCACCACAACAGAAGCATAAATGGTCTTCATGAGAAGGCTAGAAATGGTATTCTTTTTTGAAACTTGGGAAGAGGAGGGGAGGGAAGTGGGGTCAGATGTGTAACATTCCCTGTGGGGCCCCAGGAGGTCCACACCACGTCAGTGCTGTTAAAGCTCCCAAGCTGGGTGCATGCTGTGTGTCCACTTCCATCAAAAAAGCACAAAAATAGAAACAACACTGCTGCTTGTTGTTTTATGAGCAGCGTTTTAATGTAACTGCCATCCTCTTCGCGTTACATTATATTTCAAAAATCTGTTTTTCTACAGCCCAAGATTGAATGGATGAAGAATCAGATGATTATTGGAGACGACCCCAAGTACAGGCAGATCTGCGTCCAGGGTATCTGCTCTCTGGAGATCCGGAAGCCTGGTAACTTTGACGGCGGTGTGTACTCCTGCAGAGCCAAGAACGATCATGGAGAAGTAACTGTCAGCTGCAAGCTGGAAGTCAAACGTAAGTCAAGCTCTCAAAGCTATATCAACATTTTTTTGTCTGTTTAAGGATGTAAAGGCTATATTTAGGTTGCAGAATTTGCCTTGCCAGTATTTCTTGAAAATGAATAATTTGTCTTTCTGTTTAACAGAGCCAGTAGTTGCAGATGCAGATAAGAAATAGATCAACATCCTCACAGGTCAGACATGCTTGGGATCTTCAATGCTGTTTGTTGCCTGTGACTGTAAATAAAATCACTATTAACCTTATTAACCTTCGCAACATTCTTGAGTTGTATTTTTTTCAAGTTTTCACTTGTCGTTCAGTTGTTGTTGAATATTTCTAAAATAAATTGTAACTCAAGGATATGTTGATCTATATGAGTCCTGAGGTGACACTTGCCTTCTCCATGGCTTACTCTCCATACATGGAGAGCACTAAACTTGGAAAAGGTGGCCTCTGCCACTGAAAGGATCCAAGAGGTAGCACCCATAAATTAAATGTGTAATGACTCCCCGTGTACTTGGTGAGGAGACTTAATCACATTTCCTTGAGTCAGCAGCAGTATCTGTCTTCAGGGCAGAGCATTTTATTTGTAGGTAACACAGTGTCGACATTTTGGACATTTAATTTGAGTAAAGAGCTGGTTGCTATAATACTGAAGTGCTTTTAAAATCTGGATAAAGCTTATTCTGAGCAATTATTTTAGAAATGTATGACAGAAATGTCTGTCAGTTTAAATTATTTCTCTTAGGTGATTCTGAATTGCTGTTCACTTAACACCTGTTTTTTTTGTTATTTGTTCATCTGCTGGAATTTCCAAACTAGGAGCAGAAGGAATGACGCCTTTGCAGCATAAGGTGCGTGACACTTTTAGTGTTTCTAAAACAGTCCTCCACTAGGATGAAAAAAAAAAAACCAACAAGTTCAAATGATTTCTTTGTCCCCACAGGAAGGTGCTGGATTCCCGGAAGAACGTGTATATATGGCTTTTGACCACTCGAACAATGGGTTGTAGCCTGTGCTCTTTTGCCAAGTGTTAACATATGTCATGATGAGCAATAGCTCTCATCACTTTATGCCTACAAATACAATAATAAGTCCATATCCATGTCCACAATCAGCTTTTCCCAACAGTCCTGCCTACGGTTACTAAATTATTACATGTTCAAAAACTGTACCTCCCAAGTTGTCAGTCTAAATAGGTAAACAGCAAGAATTCTGCAGCATGAAATTACAGCTCCTCGTTGGAGGACTGCATGTAACATCTATGTGTTTAAATCAATAAACATTTTAATTTCTGGTTTTGTTTTTGTCTATACAGTACATTCTGTAAATTCAACCACTCTCCGGGTAATGTAGATAATGTGATTGTGTACAGAAATTAAATAATTTAATGTTGTGCTTTATGCTCTTGTCTGTGCATAGTTATACAGAGAGATTAGTCAAATGAAGTAAACTAGGGAAAGTCATGCATGTAGTATGCTTACATTTATATAGATTATGCATTTAATAGCTTTGGTTTACACTAATTTTATGTATTTAAACAATCTAAGGGCTAGTGGAAGGTTTCAATAATAAGTGAATGACAAATGTGTGTTTAATCTGAGCTCTCCCCCTTTTTTTCTTTTAAAGATATGTATATTTTTCTTATAATACAATAACAACTTATAGACATGTTTTCAGGGAAAAAATGGTTGACAATATTTTTTTAAAAGCAACTTTAAAGAACTCTGTTTTGTATAAAGATGGCAAACAGAGAGTAACTGTATCTGCAGGTTGATTTCATCACTTTCCACTACAGTTAAACTTAGGTCTTGAACCTATGAAGCTTTTTTTGGCAGGTGACCAGTGAGAATTCAGAGGCAGGAGTGCTACCCATTTACTTATACCAACCCAAGAGTACATTCCAGTATGCCAGGACTTCCATAATAATAATACCAGTCTAATACTGATCTTGTAACTATTTGGTGTCGGAGTTTCTGGCATAGTGATACGGGGCAGCATGCCAGAGATATCCAGGTTACAGAGACACACGAGTTCACACAGAGGCTGACAAAATTAGCCGCAGAGCTCCATCTCGCTTGGGTTATTTTAAGGACAAGTGGTTCGAATGGCAAAATGTGCTTTTATGTTGCCTTAAAAAACTGAAAGAGAGAAACTTAAATTGAAGATGAAAATGGAAAAAAAAACACATAGAAGGATCACAGTGTTATTAGATAAATTTAAAAGAATCAGAAACAGCAATGTTTGCTCCCTCACATGTTCAGACTTAAACTGTATTAACCAGATTACGGTGCCAAAGTAATGTTTATCCGTAGTGATCCTTAGTAGCAGAAAGAGTAAACCAGCTCTGCAGTTTAAGAAAACCAGACTCTTTGAATATGGCGTCCTCTAGTGTTTGATGTACGCAATGACATCTGCAGGCTCTAAAAATAGGAGGACAGTGTCACCTGTCATGTCCATTCATAAGTTGATACCACAAAACCCAAAAACAAAAAACACACACGGCAAGGATCCAAACAGATCAATTTAAATTCCTTAAAATAGATATATACTTGTGCTGCCTGACATTTTTAGCTGCTTGCAAATTTTGTGCAGCTTTAACCTGTGGGCTATGAGCCATAATGGGTCTCAGGCCTACTTCTAGTTGGTCCCTGGATGCTGACATGCTGCAATAGGGTCATGGAGCAAGAGACTTCCTGTCTAATTTAGATCCTGCACTGAAAAGGTTTCAAACCCCCCAATTAAGAAATGCAGTTATTAAATCACTGATGTATAATATAGGTGCATATATTAAGTTGATATTTAGTGCTTTCCAAAAGTATATTAACAGTCGAATAAAACTGATTAAAACTTGAACTACTTTGTGATGCCAACACCGCCTAAAGTACCAACTACCTCCAGATTTTTTTCATTGTGTCTATATGCAAATAGCTTATAAATATGCAAATGTATCCCAAAGTATAATAACAGTGGGGTATAATGCTAATCTATTGCTAATATACTTTGGGATATACAGCATATATACACATGCACAGCTATCTTTTCTTGTTTCTTTCTTTGCTTGTTTGTTTTATTTTTAACAAAGGAACCCTGGGTAATTACCCCCTCTTTTTTTCTTTCTTTTTTTTTTAAACTAAGTGAACTCCTTTTTGGTCCAATCATATCTTCAAACCCCTCCCACTTTGGTTCAGTAAATTCGTTAGACAGCTAATCTGCAGGGGGGAAAAAAGTCATAATGCTAAACAAAAAAAAATTTAAGAGTCAAGAAAAAATGTGACAAAATCCCAGAAATTGTTGCTGCAGGACCCTGTTCAGCCTTCATGGGCCACTGAAACAGTGATGGTGGACACAGTGAGGAAGAAACTGACTAAGGTGAGGAGAGTGAAGCAACTTCAGTTAGCAAGAGCTAACAATAATTAGCATTAGGCTAGGCTACTGGGGAAGTCCTGGAACCTGTTAAGATCCGCTAAAACTGAAAAACAACGTGGTGAAGAAGCTATCTCATGTTGGTAAAGACATGTCGATATCATTACAATAAAACACGTTCATAGCTTTGCTCTGCTTTCATTTGTCTATTGTGGACGTAGGTGTAGTATGCTAACTAGCTACCTAGCTAGCTATACCGTCAATGTTATCAAGACATCAGTGACTAGCTAACACATTGTACCAACTAGCCAAGACAATGAAGATTTACCAGTGGTTTGCAAACTAGCTCACTTATGTTATCCTGTTGAGTTAAAAAATATTTTATAATATGGCTCTAACACTTATTGAAAGAAAGTCTTCTATTTTCTTTATGCATCATTTATCAACAACAGTGAAAGCTGGCATCATTTGTTTGTCCATTTATTTATGAGGCTATAGGGTGAACAGTGCTCTTTTAGGACATGGATGAAAAACGTGTATTTGGGAGCCAGTGTGTGTCTGGCTTTATAGTTTATGAAATGCTACTTTTATCTTCAGGATGCTCGTCATCTGATCAATTATTTATAATATACACTGTGTCTCTTACATACACTGGATGGTATCACTAGTTTTATGATTCATCATGGTATAGTATAACATTCTCCAACACTGCTGTTTTAAAGTGTTCTTAATTCCCTTATTCCATTTTATCCACACTATGGCATCAGTGTATATTGGGAGTGGCACAGTTGGTATATGTATTCAGGGTAGCACGAAGAAGGGTGATGTTGGATCGATTTGCAGTTGGCCAGTTTTGGTCAAAATGCCAGGGCTGATTGTTTTGTCCCAGACCAGCCCTGGTTCCAGGACGTCAAGCAGCTTCCAGGTGTCACCAGTGAGATAGGGCCTGAACTGCATGTCCTCCTCCCCACAGTGAAGACCTGGCAAGAGGACAGACTACACAAAACACGGGCAGAACAATTGTCTTGTCAGATCCCCTGACTTTCCTCAGTGACATCACCATTTCAGTTTGACCAATGATTTGATTTATGATCAGATAATTTGGGTAGATGTTGCCATTTCCATCAACCTCTGCTGTGCTATTGCACCTACCTCTATTTAGCAAATGTTAACATGGTGAATATTACCTGGTAAACACACGAGACTGTATATTAAAGACAGATGTATCGACTCATTGGTTTGCGAACTACTTTTCTGAAACCTCAAGTTTGCCATCTTGCTATTCTGAAACGAGATGAAACAAGCGAGGGGTAGATCTGACTGAGAACTCAAGGATGCAATGCATGCAGATGGGCAATCACAAGATACCCCTACCCTAAAACATACCCGTCTTTATCATATATTTTCCTAATTAACAAAATGAACCGTATTTATAAAATGAATTTACAAGGTGAATATGTGACTTCCTTTTACAACCAGAGGAGTCGGCCCCTCTGAGTGTTTAGAAAGAATGCAGTCAGTTCTGTGTTAGCTTCATTTTTCAGAGCAAGAGGCTATGTCGATCTTTTATATACACTCTATAGCTAAACATAATTGTGTTAGCATTACCTTTTAAAGCGTATTATTGTGCAGAATTTGCGTTTAGCACAAAACATGGCTGTATCTGAGTTCAGCCTGACAGAGTTTCTCAGCCAGCTGTGTTCTGGTAGTTTGTCTGGTTTCACTTTTACATCATACGTCATTTTGTGTGTGAGACTCATTAGACTGCCTGCTTCACCTTTATGAAACCAGACCTACACAGCTGCTTCAGGCACATATTTCGCCTCTAATCTCCGCGCTGAATTACCTCTGTGCCTGCCTTTCATCTATTACAATTTATTGCTATAAAGTTCAGTGTGAGGCAATCACAAAATATCCTCTGGATGAATAATTGGATTCTATCAAAAGTTTCCTCTCCATCACTCTTCCCTCGAGCAGGCGTAGAAGCAAATAGGCACTGCAGAATGTTCCCATGAAGTTATGTAAAAGTCCAGGATGCTTTAGTGGTGCAGCATCTCTGAGTCATCTGGTGTTGCTGCTCTAATTGCTGGTAATGCACAGAGCACTGCCTGGCCACTGCTATGTCAAGGGTAACGCCAAAGGCAATGAAGTGGTGTGTCCCTCTTGAAGGGAGCCTGGCTGCCGTTTGCTGCAGAGTTTTGGCAGTGTTCCCAGAAGGTTTAATAAGTGTAATGGTGAAACTGGCACCCTCACCAGTGTCCTGTCGTTGCTTTTCATTAACAAATGTTCCACTGCTAAATCAGCTGGATTGACCGTTTGAGCACACTTTTCATTTGTCTAAGATTTGGCCAGTTAATGAGGTATGAGGAGGGGATACATTTATGTACAGACGAAGGCATTCTTTCCTCTGCCCTTTTAAAACATATTGTGCTGTTTGGGACAAATGGTGTCCCCAAAAATTATTTATTTTATGCTCACACAGTAATTCTCACAAACAAACCACTTATTGCAGGGATTTCTCTGGAGAAACCAGTCCTGGTGTGTGATGCGGCCCCTTCCAGCTGGCCAGTGTGGAAAGTCCGGCTCACTATTGATTGCAGATGGCAGAATGAGACTTCATTAAGTCAATTTAATTCAATTTGGGATTGAGACACTAAATTGTTTGGTGGACAGGAAAGGAAAAAGTAACGACAGAAGCCACCCCAAACTGTCAGACTGCTTAATTGGATCTTTTTTCTTCGTATATCACATCTGATATAAAAACCCTTAAAGAAATGGCCATCAAACACGTGATGGGATATGTTTTCAAACTGGATGTTTTATCTGCAGGGAGCATCCTGCTACATAGATGTTCTACATATGTCCTACTGCATTATACAGCTTTGGACTGCTGGACTTTTACACTTTTTCATTTAATCAAAAAATAATAATCTCT